TCTCTAATGAAATGCCATGGGCTGAGAGAGAGAAGGAGATAAATTATTTATAGTGCTTTGATGAGTGCTGGCTGGCTGATTTAAGGGGGGAGCAGTGAGGGCTCTTAAAATGAAAAGCACGATGCCGAGCTCCTCTCAAACTTTTCCACAGGAGCTTTGGGATGTGAGCTACAATGCATGTTTCAAGTAGAGACAGAAGAGACTGAGGAATAATTGGGGCTGAAAGTCAAAAACTTTACAATACTTGCCACACGTATACAGTCTGTGTTGCCTGTCTATCCGGTCCCTGTCCCACTGTGTGTGCTGAGACTGAGGCCACATATATATTGACTAGAGCTGTGTGTGTTTGGACCCACGCTCTCCATCCCAATGACTAACAGTGGGCCGCACCAATTTGGTCTTGGCAAAAAACGGGGAGAAAATAAACAGGGCTCTCTCAGGCTGCCCTGATGCAGAGGTGCTACATCTCATAGTGGAGGTAGAGTTCTCCTATAGCGCATGTAGTGGGGGATGGACCACTTTGAGTCTGACTGGATGGTTGTTAAGAGCCTAATGTATTGTATTGATTTGCATGATTGTATTGAAACATGTTGTTAATGTCAAAAGTCTGTCTGTTTGTCGATCTATCTATTTATCCATCTATAAATGTATCTTTTTATATATACATCTATCCATCTATCTGTCTCTCTCTCAATCTATCTATTCATATATATATAAATGTATCTGATTATATATATCTATCTGTTGATCTATTTATCTAGTTATTTTTCTATCTATGAGTTTGTCCATCTGTCTATTTCTATCTTCCTGTCTCTCTGTTTATCTGACTATATCTATCTATCTGTGCTATCTATTTGACTGTATAGTGTTCAAGAACATGATTGTATTTTCTTTGTAGCTTGCAACGTGCGGACATATCTCCAATTTGATTGTTCTGGGGATGATATAGGACGTCAATCCGTTAGAGTGGTATGTACACAGTTTAGTGATGAGCAGATAAAAGAATAAATTGCAAATGCAAAGTCTATACGTTTTCCAATATGTTGTGCAAATGCTGTTTTTCACTGGCACCGCCATCGCAAAAACATTACTATTACTTCACACATGAGATACTATTTACATAATAATTCTAGTTATGTCACAGTACACTACTTACTCATATAAGGTTACAATCCTGCGGCTAACATCAACATTGTCCTATTACTGAATGTAACCATCTGAAAAGCAGAATTGTTTTGATTACATAGATGCCATATGTTATTTCACTTATATAAAGATACGTCTGGAGTCGTTCATCTCTACTAATCATCCTGGTGTGAGGAGAAGCCTGTTATTTGAGGTCACTAAACAACACCTTATGGCACAGTCAATAAGTAATCATCACCTATTTTATATAATCATTCAACCGTGTCTGAAAAGCCTTACAGATACAAGACAGGATAGGAAATAATTCAGCTGAATCCAAGCCTCCATTACCACCACTTTCCAGCTAATTGCCTCCTTGTCCGACAGTAATCCACCCATTTTGATACTTCCTCTACCTGTTGTTCTCAGTAATGTTAGTCATTTTAACATTATTATACTCTCGGAGACAAAATACATACCAGGCCTTATGTTTTACGTCCAGTTATACACTGTGATTTTCTCATTCAATGTTTGGTATTTACAAGCCAGCCGTGTTGAATACTTTTCTCTTGCATTAAAGCTGGGTTACTTGACTTGTGGTTGTGGCTCTTGTTTTGTTTATTATATCAGAAAGAATGTTGTAAAATGTTAAATGTTGTGAACAAATAAAAAAAAAAAGTGTGATCTTTTGCATTTTTGTATGTACTATGAGTCACTCTGTGGTGCTTTGGAAAGGGAGATGAGTGAGGGTGGTTCTCTCTCGTAAATTTTTGGTCTAAAAGAGCAGATAAAAACATGTGACAGAGGCCAAAAACGATACATGCAAGTGAAAAACTACTGATAGAAAGAAACTGTTTTAAGATTAAAGAACTAGGACCTTAATACATATATTATTGTGATTGTTAGATATCTTGGCTTTAAAACATAACATGTTCTGTTTGATGGCTCAATCAGAGTACTGTATTCTGAATTCTTGGTATATGATCATGTTCAGTGAACATTTGTAAACTGTCAAATGCATCGCAAATTGAGTTCAACCTTGTTTTTGCAGTGCGTCATGCTTTTTCACAGTTATTCATTCGATCAGGGTAAAACACACTTGCATACTCCACTAAATACGCTCTTATACATATTATTGAAGGATTACTATTCCCTTTTAACTCATGAAATCAATGGTCATAACTAAAATGAACTCAACATTTGTTCCCCTGGCAAACTTACGCTACAATAAAAAAAAAAACAAAAAAAGAGGTAATAGTTGCTTGAATCAAGGTTTTTTTTATCTTATTTTGAGTACATTCTAGGATTGATTTGCCAATGGGAAAAAGCCCTTTAGCCATATTTCAAGAACTTTTTTTCTCTTTCCTAGGGAGACATTTTTTGTATCTTTTTAAAACAAGATCATTTCACTTGTCCCATCTTTTTTTAAGGCAGTCAGAAATGCTAAAATTAAGATACAATTAAAACGTATCCAGCTACTTTTAGCCCATTTCTCCGTCATTTTTTACAGTGTACTCAGTTACTTCCCAAGACTGCAAGCCTAAGCAGTCCAGTTCAAGCCATGTTTGTGATTGAGAGAGCAAAAACTTCAAGTCTCAAAGCTGCCAATTCATTCTGCATGATGTTTGGTAAGCAGCCATGTAGCCAATCAATTATTTAAGTGACAAATTGTAGACGTTGGATATCTGTATGCCCCATAGAGCCGCTGGTCTAATCTAATTTGGGCCACAACACCAGAGGAAAGCAGCCAATCGCGGAGCCATTTATCTTTAAGGAAAAGCGTAAACAAGCCAAAACAAATGAGGCAAAGAAAGCAAGTCAGATAAGAATTTCTTATTATTCCAATAAAAAATACATTCATACAGAAATATAACAATTTTGCAAAACAATTTCAAATAAAAATTTCATAAAGCATAAACATAACAATTTTACAAAAGTTGTTTTTTTTTCCTTTTTTTATACAAAGAGTCAGACAAAGAGCTGTGTGTGTTTTGAACGACATTAACGGTATAGTGGCATAATGAGAAAAATGATGGAAAGATGTGAGCAAAGGCAAAATCAAGGCTCAATCACTGAATCAGGGACTAGAGGGGGAGAGAGAGGCCTCAGAGCAGATCCTCAATCCAACGCAGCACTTTCAAGCCCCATCCGAAATCTATAGGCTGCGACAATGCTGCGACATCAGCTTTGCATGAGGCCAGTGACACTTTCCTCAAGACTTTTAAAGAAATCCATCAATCCATCAATACATTTGGACCAACATTAAGCTGCATATAGACGACATCTCAAATTAACACATAGGTTGCGTTCATGCCACATCACAACTTTTCATATAAAGCCTATAGTTTAGGAAGCCTCATCGCTATCTTATAATTGTCTGGTATAGAAGAACCAAGTCACTTATAGTTTATGGTTTACCGTGTGGTGGAGGGAAGCTGAAATATCTTTCCTGGTATCAACGGTAATTGTCAAAAGCTCATATATTTCTTGTCCCTGGGCTAATCCACATAAAACACAAACTGTCGCGAGGTTCCACATCTTTTTGTCAGTATATATCATCTATGGCCTCATTAATTTCACATAAAGTCTTAAAGTGATGATAATATTACAAAAGACATAATATGCATGAGTCTGTCCAGTAGGAAAGACTGTCAGACATAGCATGGAATTTTTGTGATTATAATCTTGAGCAATTGAGCATTTGGACCTTTTGACTATTTGTTGTTTTGGCACCAGCTTTAAAACTGAACCTCTACATACGACATGAACGCAACCTATAAAGCCGCTCAGAAAGGCCTCGGTCCTGCCCCACGCTGGCTCATGTACCCCTGTGGTTTTCATAACATTGTTGCAGCTTGGCTAAAACAACGCAACACCAGACAGGTCAATACACAGCCTACAGAGTCAGCAGTCTGTGACAGATCCCATGCCAACAAAACCTTTAGCGATTCATTACACTGGGGCCGTACACAGCGATCCCTGTCCAACGGCTGCATGTTAATTACAATAAATCTTTAGCCTTTTTTTCCTTCAGTCCCCAACCTGTGCATCGAAGGACAAGGAGGGGACAGAGGATGCTGGGAGATGGGGGAGGGAGACTTTGTGATAGACTGGCACATACTACACAGTAGTTAACAACTTTAATTAATGGGTAAGTGCTTTAAACATACATTAAGTTGTCGTATTTACAATTTGTGGCTTGACTTGAATGTGATACATGACAGAGACGAGTGCTTTCACAAATAAAAAAAAGGTCCTTTGCGGGGCAATTTTTACATTTAAACATTGTCAAGAAAAAATAAAATAAAAAAGTCACATGTAATTGAGCCTTGATAGAGCAAGTCAAATCACCAATACAAACAAACGTGACGTCCCCAAGGGCTTGGTCACTTGCATAAGGCACCATTAAGGTCAACAGTGCATTATTCCATAGAAAACGGAAAAGAGAAGTACAAAAATTAAAAAAAGCAATCCTTGTAGCATCGGATGAATGCAAACAATATGCATGATTAGATAAGCAGTGGCGGTATCTCCAGAGTGATGAGTGAATGTAGAGGAAATTATCAAGGCTTTATGTACAATATTGTAACATTTAACCGTTCGCATTTAGCTGCACTTTAATTGAACTATTTGCAGTCCTGATTACAGTGGAAACAGGAAATGAACAAACCCTAGAACCATGCAACACCTGTCTATGATACGGAAGTTATAGTATAGTTGTGTTATACCTCTAAGCACACAGCTTATACAATTGAACTACAAATGAGCTTTGTAGCTTGTAAAAAAATAATAAACCAGGCTACATAACACATTGCACATTTAGTAGCTGCACCAAAAAACACCAAAAAAGCTCCTGTCATACAGTGACCGGGGCGTCAGGGTCCAACGGGACAGAGACCTGAAGGGCATCGGAGCTGCCCTAAATCCGGTCTGACCAGGACCGCAGACGTGGGAGAAGAACCCCGCTCCACCGGTTTGGGTGCCACACAGGCAGGTCGCCTCCTGCCCGACCTCACATTGCCACAGGGCAGAAACACAAGTGCTCCTCGTCCCAGAATCCCATTCAGTCCACAGCAACATGGCGCCAGCCCTGGACCCGCCACGGCCCTCAACACTCCTCTTCCTGGTCCCGTGGGGCTGGCCAGCCAATCGCAGACATTCACAGTGCACACATGCTTACCTCAGACTGTTTTTGTAAAGTACCAGTGTATCGGCTGTCCGGGAGATGTCCCCAATTCATCATGCACCATACATACAATTCATTCATTCTTTTTGTCTATCTTTTATGTTTTTTTTTGTAGATTTTTTTTGTTAAAAGTCCTTCTTGATCAAAAAGAAAACTCTTCCTCGTCCATGATTTTGTCCTCTTGTTGCAACAGACAACCTTCAGAGCGCCTTTCTCCGAAGAGAGGTCCCGGAGGCACTGGGTTCAGGTGCAAAACGGCATGCTTTGGCTGGAACTCACTCCCTACACTCTGCTCTGGGACAGTTCAACCAGAAACTGGTCGGGAGACGGCGTCAGAGTCTCTCCTTAAACGTGGTTGGTGCTGGCCTCGTTTAAATGTGCCTCTTCATGTGAAGGGCCAGATGGTCAGACCTGGAGAAACATCTGGGGACAGAGAGGAGGGACAAAGCAGTTAACAACAATGCTAAAGAAATGGACTCCAGCTGAAAGAGCCTCGCTGCAGGCTTTTCAATAGACTGCTCTAGACAGACACATGTGGCAGTTTGGGGAGAAGCAATAAAACAAGTAAACATGCTTCTGAAGTGTACATAGGCTCCTCCTAATTTATTTTATCAGCAAAATGAAACTCAACGCTTCCATGCTTTAAATCTGGTCACATCACACAGCTCTGTGCATCACATCGATGGATGCACAGAGATTGAGGGCATCTATCTTAGCGAGAGGAACAAACAAAAGCTTATCACAAGATGGACGACATCATTCACTGATAAAAGCCCCTTCTCACCTGTCACAGTGACTGCATTTAAATGGCTTTGCCCCAGTGTGCTTCCTGAAGTGTCTGGTCAACTCATCACTCCGTGCAAAACGCCACTCACATCCTTCCCATGAACACCTGTAGGGTTTCTCACCTGCAGAGGGAAGAAGATGAGTTAATGTCACGTTCATAGTTGAAAACACTAAGAAGCAACAATGAGTCTTTCTTGAGCAATCCCTCCTCTGCTGTCATTTAAATATAACCAAATCACTCAGCCTCTGACAGGACTGATGGCACCGCTGACAGCAGTCACTCCAGACCCAGAGTCTCCTGAACCTGTTGGACTACTCACTGCAGCTAATGCAAACTCAAACATGTGAGGAATGTGCAGAAACTACTGGTGTGGCTATGAGAAAGCCACACGTGCAATTTCACGCTGCTAATCAAAAATAAGAGCCAGTCAAATGACCATTCAGAGCCTTCCAACTCAGTGCCCCTGGCTCCCCGCCCATTCAGCCTTTCCCATGGTGAAACCCAATCTGTTTTGGAGGACTGAGGCCTTTTATCTCCCATGTGCTGCCCCTCCCCCTGCTCCCTACGCTCTCTCAGTCAGTCACATTCCACATAGATTAGGTCACACTTTAGGTATCCAGCCATGCAGAGCTAATACTCGCACAGCTCCAGCTGAGGACATCATGCAATGTGGACCTTTAATTACATTACACAATGGACGGACAATGCATTACGGCGCAAGAATGGATTAATAGCACTTTCAGCCTCGACTCAATACAAACTGAGATGTTTTAACTGTGGCAGCTTCACACTGAGCGCCTTGTGCGGTCACCTGAGGTCAAACACATGTAGCAGATGTGGGGCAGACTCACCTGTGTGGGTGCGCTGGTGTGCTTTGAGGTGGGAGCTCTTTGTGTAAACTTTGCGACAGCCGTTGAACTGACACCTGTGAATCCTCCTCCTGACATCTGGAGATGTGTCCTCAGAGATGAGTCCGTTCTTATCCGACCCCTTGGTCATTCCGCCGCTCCTGATTTTGACCGGCAGGTGTAACTCCCCATGTGCTCCCATCCAGCCGTGTGACACGGCTCCGGTCTCCAGATGGGCCTCCGGAGAGGAGGGCGGCGTGCTGATGACAGACGGGCTAAAAGGTCCAGAGCCGACCAGCACAGAGCCCAGCGGGTTGGAGCTAAAGCTGTGTGTAGGTGAGAGCTCCTCCGAACTGTCTGAGGCCTCGCTGCTGGCATCCGAGTGCACACTGTGGCTGTCCAACAGAGGGCTGTCCTGATTGTCCTCATCATGAGTCATCACGGGGATCTTTGGGTCGCACTCGCCCTTGGTCTTGTCCCCACACGCCAATATCAACTTGCTCCAGAGGTCCTCCTGTCCATCAAACTTCAGGTCTGATGTGGTCACGTAGGGTTCACTCTGAAGGTAGCGTTCCAACTCCAAGCATGTCTGTAAGGCAGCAGGAGAAGGTAATATTAGCCTGTGCAGCATTACCACGAGAGCAGAGGTTCATTGAGAGACTGTTCTATGGGAAATCCCTCTAAATCATGCATGTGCACACAGCCTAACCACTCTGTCATCTCATTTTAGAAACCGCTGACTCCAGGAAGTTTGAAGCATTTTGGCTGCTTCTGCAGAATATGGCACACTGCTCTAATCTCCATTGTAATTTGCAGCCTAATCACTTTGGTCATCATGCCTATATTCATAATATTATCCTTAAACGCTTTGTGATCTCTTACTTTGTGCTGACTGTGGGCAAAAACCCTAAGTGAAAGGAAAACGATGCTACAACCATTTCTATTTTTGGTCTGCATCTTATAATCGCAGTGGTGATTGTGCTACATCCATAAAATGTTCACATGTTTCCAGCCTAGCAGCCATCTATTAGCACTAAACACATACTTCACAACACAGTGTCACGCAGGAGCCAGCAGGGCCCCTGTGATTTACGTCCCTGAGGATGTCACCCTCCATAAACAGACGCCATCCTGCACCTGAGAGTAGCCCCAGAGTAAACGTGCATTGTCATTTGTGCTGGCCCGACTGACTCACAAATTTAGAGCCCTTTTAAGGAAGCCAACTCGCACACTTCCCCTCAGACGCAAAAGCCATTGGTGCTGCTTTTCCTCCTGCGTACCTCTGACATGCTATCACATCCTTCCTCAGTCCCTGTCACCCCCCCCCCCCCCCTCTCTCTCTCTCCCTCTCTCACTCTCAGGCAGCTGGCTATAAAGATACAATTTACTCCTGCTATTAAAGTTGGAAAAATACTTCTATGGAAGGTGCACAACACATTTGACGAGGCAGATGTGGAATAAATATTTTCCTTTGGGCGCTTCTGCAGCTTACACAATGTTTTCCAGCTGCACTAGTATCTACTCATGCAAGAAGCGATTGGCCATGGCTGACATTTGATAGCCCCATGTTGTTGTGTGTAGCCTGCATTCAAAACACAATACGAGGCTGGGATTCAAGTTCTTTTTTTCCCCCATCTAAAAGATTGTCAAAAATATGAAAATTAGGCAAGTGTGACATGCCAGCTCATGAATAGCGATGAGAATCAAAATTGGCCAAGCGCCAGGGGTAATAAAATGACTGTATATTGGAATGCCTGGAGCTATTTTGACAGTGTTTGAATTTTGCTCATGTGATTTGAAGTCTTTTAATGCGAGCAACAATGTCCACTGTCAGTGTATGTATATTCACAGCAGGTTAGTGTTTTTCCATTGCATTTATATTTAAAATTCAGAAGTCGTGTAGAGAGAATGCCACGCGTCTAGAATGGGTAGTAGTGCTGCGTGCGAAGGCTTATCCATCTTACTTTCAGCCCAGCTCCATGTGCGAATGAATCAACTTTCATTTCGGTCATTTACACATGTATACGCATCGTTAAAGAGCAGTAACTTTGCAGCAGAAAGAAAAGCCTATTCTGCCTATACCCTGGGCGATTTGTTTGAATTACCCAGCGTCTGTCTGTAGTAGCCTTCGCGCTTCGATCCAATACCCCCCTTGCCCAAGACGCACTACACCGCTGTCAGGAATGAAGCCATGCACGTTTACCATGTGGGGAAAGGGGGGAGGAAATAGAAAAAGAAAAAAAAGGAGAGATATAGCAGCAGAGCGCACGCTGGCTGGCACTGTCTAATGCTTCTCGGTCTAAGTTACTCTTCCCTCATTCATCTTGGCGCAGCGCTGCCTCGTCTCCAGCTGTCAGAGTGACACACTGATCCACTTCAGTCTGCCAAAACTTCACAACCCACAACTGATAATGAGAACGCACGTCTGGGAAAACAGCGCAAAGGGGGCAGCGAGTGGACTCCCTGCACCTGACCATCTAAAGCGAGACCACGTTTCTATACAAAAAAAAATAACTCTTTTTCGTCTGTAGTAAAGCACGACGCATTACGAGCAAAGCCACACGCGAAACCAGCTTCCTTCCGCTTCCCAACACAATTCTCAACACACGCGTAAAAAAAGCACCGCACATATATACACATACATACACAAGCACACACACATACACACATTCACATAAATATATTCACCTGCTGCCAGTACTCCTCCAAAGACGGTAAGGCTGAAAAATAGCCCGTGTCGTGAACTATTTGAAGTTCTTGAAAGATGCTGCACATGGGTAGAACATCCATTTTCCCGAGAGGTTAGAAAAAGCCTAAATTAAGCCGCGCGTAAAGAGTAGAAAAAACCCCCAGGAGGAGACGTGCGTAAAAGCGAAGCAAGGCTGGGAAGTGTCGCGTATCTCCGGGCTGAGTCTCGCATGCGAACGGGGGCTTGTGTTCAGGGTTCTGCAGTCACAAGAAGCAGATCGTCCGTCCCCCTCCGTGTGTATGTGTGCGTCTCTCTCTCTCTCCCTCTTCTCTTCTCTCCTCTCTCTCTCTGTATCTCTCTGCGCGCTCTCTCCGTTTGTGCTGGAGTATTTGCAAACACCGCACTGGACTGTGGTCGGTGAGCAACTGCGCTCTGCAAACTTCCCTATTCAAACCAACGAGCCCACCCCCCTTCGTCCCCCCTCTCCCTGCCCCCCGATTACGCCTTCGCCACCCGGGCCAATCCGCAAGAACCAAGGGGCATAACATAACAGGGGACCAATGGTGTTTTCCCTCTGACTTCATCTTGTGGTTTCTCTATGCGCATTGGCTGGTTTGTCTGCCTGTGCCGCGCTCTGATTGGATGGTTATTTTTAGGGCCTATATAAGCGCACCAGCCTTCACATCCACTCGCTTATTCCGTCCTGTGTCAGCTACATGTTTCACCACAGATAGCGCATGTGAGCCGAGCCGAGGCGAGTCTCACTTCTCTATATGAGTCTCTCTCTCTGAGCAACTTTGGCACAAGTGAATGCCTTTGAAAAAAAATAAAAACAATCTTTTCAAAGCTGCGGATGACTTCACCAAAAGCTGAAACTGTGTCTGTGGCTGAAAAAGTGCTGGCGCTTGTGGTGGTGGTTGTTGTTGTCGTATCTAAGGCAATGGCCAGTGCGTATCAGCAGTGACTTAAGAGGAAACACAAAACAACACACTTCTCTGTCACCAAGTTTAAATAGATGTTCACACTTCTGCTTTGACATTGTGATGAGCAGGAAGTTATGGCAAACGTCTGTGTGTTTAGTTTGGAAACTTCTTGGCAACCAAACACAACTTAACTCTTCGCTATTTTAAGATTATGTAATAACTATAAAGGTAAGGCAGACAAAATTATTTACAAACTATTACCACATAATAGGCTGGATAATCCTTGCAATTATACACTTCAAAGTAGCTATAAAATGTAATCAATTGAAGCCATTAGAAGAGAAAAAAGGTTCTCAATTAACATAATCATAAAGCCAGAGGGACTTTTGTGTCAGATCTGTATTAAGTTAATTGTCTTGCTCTTTTGAATCTAGTTTTGAATACTATAAGCACTGTGAGACTTTTGTTAAAGTAGATGCATGCTTTTATTCAGAAGTTGGTTTTAGTCTGCTTTTTTTATGTTGTCTATTTCTTGCCTCACACTGATGTTCATTAAGGAGCATTGTCTCTATCAAATTAATAGATAAATGAATGAATAAACTTAACTTGTGAAATACTTTGTGAGCTACTGTTACAACACAATTTCCCCTGTGGATCAATAAAGTCCGTCCAAGTCTGAAGAATAAAGACAGTCAAGCTTTAGTTTTAACATTGTGTATATATTTGTATATTCATATGTATATTTTGTTTGAGTTTAGCGGACAACTGTATCCTATAGACTCAGGCTGACGGAAAATCTGAAGTAACTTTCCACAGATGAATCACCTCCATATACTGTACTCTGTAACTATTTGCTTGTGGCAATATGCAGATGGCTGATGACTAATGCTTAGCTAATCTTTCACGCAGGTACTACCTCTATCACAGAGATTTCTAAAAGGTGAGCCACTAAAACACCTGACATGATAGTGGCTTGTAAGTGCCATAATAATGTGAATCAAAGGCTCAAAGGATCTTTTAATACAATTTTAGTCAAGTATTTGCCAAACCCCATTGTTTTTCAGCAGCTGTCGCAAAGGCAATTTCGTGTTGTTGCTCCCAGTTTACTTTTTATTTCCAGAACAAATTGTTTGCATGTAATCTGATGAGGTTTGGTGCCGGATAATGCAAATTGCAACTCTTCTCTGTGTGACATTTATTGAAGCCGACTACAAAAGTGTACACTAAAGTTAAATTATACCCTTCATATAATCCCTCTACTGTCTGCAGATAGCCAGCTGTATTCCCTCATGAGCGACTCTCCATTCCAGACGCATTCCATCACATATTTGGCAATGGCAGTACGTCACCCCGGCTCAAGTCTTATCATTTCCTCTTTCGGGGCAGCTACTCGCGTGCAGTCTCTGGTATGAACACAGGCCTCTCCTTCCTGCCTTGCTCATGGGCTGTTTTGTTGCGTAACTTTGAATATAGCATTTAGCTTTTTTTTTTTCTGCACCGGGGACTGAGGCTCCATGGCACGGAATCCCACAGCGAGATAAACAACACGGCCACACAGCGCTCCCATTGTATTCTCCAAAGTGGCAGTATTTTCTGAGTAGACAACTGAGCCTTCTTTGTACAGCAATGAGGCCATATTTGTCGCTGGTAACATCTGATTCAGTCATATGGCCATGGATGCCTTTCCGAAGCCTGGAGCCGGCCCCTGCCTCTCTGCAAAGGAATTCCTCATTGCTTTTATGTTTCTAATAGGCCCCATTCATTATGTCCCTCCTGGATTCACTGGACAGTCTGCTTTGAAGAAGGGAGCTTAAAGTGATCCCTGTCTTGTTGTTAAATTTTCCTTTGCTTCCATTTGTGAAGCTACTTTTGCGTCATTTCGGTGGGTTTCGCAGATTGAAGATTATCCTTATGTCATTCAGTCAGATGTTGCGGTTGGCAGTGTTTTTGTGCTTATTTTATTGAATTTTCATCAGACAAAATACAGTTTGTTATGAGATCGTTCATTTCCCATGACTACTCATAATACACATAATCTTATAGGTGCAAATAAATAATGTTGTGTCAAATACCCATTCGTAAACTTTATTATTATTATTATTATTATTATTATTATTATCTTAAACTCCATGTGTTTGTTGAGTGGATAGACAAAAATGAGAATATAGACAAATTTAATTTGTAACGTTATTGGGCTGCATTATATGGAATGGTGGGCGACAGTGGCTCAGTTGGTAGAGCATTGGTCTCAGAGCCTGAAGGTCGTGGGTTCGAGCCCACCACAAGACCTACTTCCCGACTCCCACTGATGACTGCTGTCGTTGTGTCCTTGGGCAAGACACTTAACCCACTTTGCCTGTAGTCCCTGCTGAATAATCAAGGCCCCTGTGGACTCACCACCTGCAGGAGGATCAGTGAGGAGCTGTTGCTCTGTGTACTGGGTGCAGCTCAGACTGCCACCCCCCAACCCAGAGATGGATTAAGGGGAAGAAAATGGATGAATGGATGGATGGATTACATGGAATGGAAAATGCCAAATTGGATCATTCTATGAAGCTTAATAAGGATTCACTCATGGATGAAGTTGTGCTCCTTCTTTCTTTGGCTTATTTTCACATCTTACTCTTTATTCGTGTTCTTTGATTTCGGGCTTAAAAATCTAAGGCCTTTTATGACTCACATTTTGATATCTTCTTAGATCTGATAGATTGACTTGCATGCGAATAGTGTGAGTGCAAACAGACCAGTGACACTCCTGATTGGCTTCTTGGTTGCTGGGTCGTTGCCATCCCCTAATTTGCCCCCAGACTGATATGGAGCCTGTTCGAGTTTGCTCTACTCAGCTTCTTCTGCAATGAGGGAAACACTGACGGAAGCTCAAGGTTCGTCCACTCCTTCTTATGACTCACCTCACTGCAAAGAATGATAAAACAATAGGTAATAATTGCTTAAAACAAGTGGTTTTTATCTTGATTTGACTGAATTTTGACTGTCTTAACACAATACAATTTACAATACAATTTATTCTTGTATAGCCCTAGGTCACAACAGAAGTCATCTCAGAGGACTTAACAAAACCATTGAAATCACCAACACAGGTCAGAGAATCAACAGTTAAAACACATGAAGAATACAGTATAAAGCACACACAGAAGAAAATGTCCATACATGTTGTAGAATGCTAAAGTGTCCTGATCATCACCAATCCTTTCTGTTGGACACTAACTGTCCAACAAGACCCTCCTGCATCGACAAGGAAAAACTCTTAAAAAACCCAGTGGGAAAAAGTGAGAAACCTTGGAGGAGAACTAGGGAAACCCACAGGGAGGGAGACCCATATGAGAAAGGGATCCGCTCCTCCGGACGGACAGACTAATGATCTAGGACCTAAGCTAGCTACAGAACGTGGACCAGTGGACGCTGAACGTGGACAGGTCCGGTGCAGGACCGAAGCACTCCCAGGCGGGTCGGGCGGGGCAGTCCGCAGGTGTAGATGGAAGAGGCCAGGCTCAGAGATCCCGTCATCGTACCATGAAACAGACAATGGGACAACGGGTGAATAGCAATGAACAAACTACAGTCAGAATCCTAAAAATGCTAAACAGATAAAGTAGGAAGGAGGAGAGGATAGTGCTCAAGTTACCATACTTCTCCCAGCAAACTGACTCCCTATGCAGCTTGACTAACACTCTGAGGAGTTTAACCTTCTCCGAGTCTTACCTTCCTAGCCATATGCTAAACTAAAGAGGACTGTTTTAAACCTAGCCTTGAATAAAGAATAACATACAGCATAATATATAACATAATATACAACATAACACAATACATTATTGAATAATATATAACATAATATATAACATAATACAGCATATATATATAATATATACACTACATATTATATATTACCTAATTATATGCTAAATTAAAGTAAAGTGCTTTAAGCCTGGCCTTGAATGTGGAGACCGTATCTGCTTCCTTAACATAAATGGGAAGCTGATTCCACAGTAAAGGAGCTTGGTAGCTAAATGCTCTGCCACCAACAGTGACCTTTGAGACCTTAGGGACCACCAGACGTCTGGCGTTTTGTGAGCGCAACGCTCGACTTGGTTGATACGACACTAACGTGTCTTGGAGATAAGAAGGAGCCAAGCCATTTATGGCTTTATATGTTAAGAGTA